CTTCCTGTCCAGTTTCTTCTCTTTGCAGAATATGCAAATATTACTGCTGGATGTTCCTCCTTTCTCTGAAAACTGCATATATGCCCCAGAGGCTTCAGCTTTCCACATTGTATGTTGCATTTTCTGCACATAGTTTCAACACTAGATGGTGTAAGAGTCGCCTCTCTTATCTCTTGAACAGGCCGAGCACGACATCTCTGACACATGGTTTTCTGTCTGCAGCCACAGGCGTTAAAGTGAAACAAAACTGGTGTCGCTTTGCACCTCTTTGTTTCATCTGCATCATCTGCAGTCTCCATGAGAGGCCTGAGACGGTTCCGGGACAATGTGACAGGACTTATAATCAGATATTTCTCTCTGCCCTTCCCCTAGTATCTACTTATTTTTTCTATCAAACCTTTATTTAACATGATTAGAACATTTCTTTCCCGAGAGCACAAGAGAAGTATTATTCTAAGGCTAAAAGAGACAAAAGATTTTGTCTCTGCGTCTGTCTAACTTCCAGACTTTAGGGGCACAAAGCACAAAGATGGTGCTACTCTATTGCAAATATGAATTACTAGTTCAACGAGACGATATATAAGTGTTGTGGATTACCTGCTAATACCGCCAAAGCCCTTTGGATGTGAATATGTGACAATACGTGAGAGCATAATAAACATGTCAAGGTCTTTGAGAAGAAGGAAGTCACAGTGTGTTTGTTTAATATTACTTGTGAAGTCGGACAGGCATACGAGACTTATTCAGTATGAACTAACACAAGGGAGGATTAGCTGTAGCTGACATGATACAGACTGCTCTTAGACGTGTACCAGTCCCATGGCTTTATTTCCACAGTCAGTCCCCTGGCATAAATGCCCTGCAGTGCAGCCCTTACACATCTCCCCGGGCCCAAAATAGAGCCAAGGACAAGTGGTATGCAAACAGACATGGCTGCGGGGCAACGCGCTTCTATTCTTCAAGGCTCTGGGCCTTCCAACCAGCTGCCAGGTGGAGCAGTTAAAACACAACGACTTTAGAGTGTCGGTATATGAGCAGATTCAAAAAGTTATCAAATGAAGGAGTTTGAGAGAGAGACAGAGGAAAATAAAGTGTCACTTTTTGTGAAATCATTTTTTTACAATTGAGAGAGGAGAATTTTCTACAGGCCAACATTTAGAATTTAACGTAGGAAACCAATGTTTTGTTGCGTGGTGGTTGAGCACTGACGACATGTTTTCTGTTTATGTTTATGCTTATGTATAAAAAGGAATTCTACCTTCTACCAAATCTTGTTATAGCAGACAGCATCAGAAAAAGGGGAATCTTTTGTCTCTTTTAGTCTTAGAATAATACTGCTCTTGTGCTCCGATGTGAGCTCATTAGGTATTTCAGGATGTCGTTCAAGTTTTGTAAAGTATCGGAATGAGTTCTGAGCTTTATTCTCTTACAGTTCTTCCTCTGATATTATGTGAATAGAAGTTTAAGTTCAGTGGAGCGTTGACACAGGTGATATTACTCTACAGTGCAACACCTGGCGACGTAAAGCTGATATTAAAGGTCAGATTTAAGGGTGTAAAGTGGGCTCTGCTTTAGAATGCAACAATACACTCTGGAATGCATCACTCATCAACTGCAACTCAAGTCCAGCTCACAGAGTTTACAGCAGGGCTGCGACTGATGATGATTCGTATTATCAATTAACTATAAGTCCAAGTCAACAAACTTATATTGCTTTGTTGGTCCAAAACAGGGTAAAGCAACAAACGATATTTAGTTACATACCATAGAAGATGATGTTTGTAATTTGAGCTTTAAGTGATCAAATGATTATAGAAACTGTTGCAAATAAAAATAAATTGCGATTGGCTTCGTTGGTCATTGTACACGGTGGAGTGGAGTTTCCTGAGCCCTAAAAAATGGAATAATACAAAGTAAGAAGAAGTCTAGAAGCACTTTTTGTTCAATGTATTGCTCATCTTTTACGAGCACAAACAGCAGCTTCGGGCCAAGAGAGAGAGACAATTAAACCGCCATTTGTGTGGACGTTGCCACTGGAGCACAGTTTCTCCTGCCATATGATTTATGATTATAATAATCATTGTACTCTATGGGGACCAGCTGACGGAACAGCAAAATCTAAAGCAGCAGAAAAAAAGAAACGTTTCTCCTGCAATGGACTGTAAAAGTTCCAGGGGGCGAAGCCAACACTGGAATGTAAATCAAACTTTTTGCCAGTTTTCATGGTCAGTGTATCAGCACCACAGGTAATAAGAATAAGAATATTAATAACTTTAATATTCAAAACCCCACAAAGACAAACAGATTCTCTGTATTGAGAAGTGAACCTGCTTTGTTATGCTGATGATATTCCTGTCAGTGAACTACTCATGCATGCGACTCGTAATAGGTTTGTACACGCACAACCGCACACAGAAAACAACACTGATAATTTATTCTTGTCTATCATGAGACGTCTCTTGCTTCTGCCCTGTACCCTCCCTCCCCCGCCTCCCCCCCGACACAGCCGTAGAGAGAGGCGCAATGATGCGATTCCCAGTGAGACCTGGTGAATAGTAATGAACCCAGCCTGTGTGTCTCTTTTGAGAGAGAGTGGGAGGGAGGGAGGGAGGAAGAGGAGGGCAGACTGCGAGTGAAAACCAGGGCATGCTCTCGCACCACTGATGCGGCACAAGCAGCGGTGAGAAGCACAGTTGTGACTGACAGGAGTCGCGGTCGCGTTAATCCTCTGCTCCCTCCACAGCGGCCGATGTGATTCACGCCCAACAAACTGTAGCTTTTGGCCACATTGTGCTCCATCATGCAGTTGCTCACTCATCCCCCCCCCCCCCCCTTTCCTCACGTATAGGAAACGGATCAAGGGGGAGAAAGCTGAGGGTGAATGGGACTCGGAGACGGACGTCTGCACCTGCTGTCTTCTTCCCATGTTCATTCTGCCCCTGCTAGTGGACTATTGAAAAGACAGTCCTAACAAAGACTAGGAGACTGTGAAGACACAAGGATCTCTTCCCATCAGGGTTAACCTGAAGCCACCCTGGTAATCACTCAATCTTTAAACCATTCAGGCAAATTGTCAATACTGTATGTTCAGTGTGATAAACGCAAACTTTGCGTCATTGCTGTCCAGATGTAAGTGCAACAAAAGTGCTTCGCTGCTGCGTACAACCCGGGGGATTAGCGACCGGAATATTCAGCAACTGGCTGCAAAGATCAACTGGAGTGCCAGGACTGAAAGGAAAGGGAACAAACACAATGGGGGGAGCCCCCCTACCTCAGCCTCTCTTTTATGCCTCTCCATCCAGGACCCATGGGCTCTCTGCCAACTTGGAATCTTAAGAACTCATTCAGCAAAAAAAAAGCCAAAGAAAGGGACTTGTTTAAACCCAGGACCCATTCGCTCACAGTCTCTTGTTTTTCCTTTACATTTCTCACATGAAGAGGGATTTCTGGCTACTGTTTTCTCTGACATCTCATCTGAGGGGGGTGTGGAGCTGGGCGGAAGGGTTCGTGGTGGGGGGGGGGGGGGGGGGGGGGTCCCAAGAATTCCTATCTATCAAATTTTCCTCAGGATCCGGGGTTTGAGAAATTTTGAGCGGGGGAATTTCCCCCTTGAGGTTCTAAACCCCCACGCTTTCTCTATATTTGTTTGCTATAGGCATATTTATCTAAAAAAAGAGTTACAATCGTCTTTATCTTCTCTCGTCTCCCCACCCTGTGGTCAGCAGGAAACTCTCACTGCTCCACACTCATATGTCTTCACTAAAAAACACGGTTGAGAGGGGGATGCGACTCTCTCTCGGCGGGAGCGTGGAGAGAAGAGAAGAGGAAGAGGCGAATT